TCAGCTTCAGGGGACACCATGAAGCAGTCGCTGTCTATCCGCACATCACAGGCATGGAAGGGGAAATGGATCTTTGCTGGGGACACAGGCAGAAGCAGGTGGGTCCTTGTGCCAGCAGAGATGGGCCCACAGAGGACCCTTTGCCCCACCTTGGGGTGCCCTGCCTGCAGATCACACACTCACTGCCGCACTCAGCTCCTCCGTAGCCCGCGTCGCAGAGGCAGGAGCACTCCTCCTTCCTGAACCTCCCGTGGAGGCACTGCCCGCTGCACCTCACTGTGGGCACAGCCCTGCATTAGCTGCCAGGGGGCTCGGCAGGCTTGCCCACACTGCACCGGCTGCGCCCGTGCATGCCCTGCACCAACGCTGCGCCCGCATGCCCTGCAGCAGCCACGCACAGGCCTCTGAAGGCTGCACGGTGCCCTCTCACCTTGGCAGTACCTGCCCGTGTAGCCGGGGGGACAGGTGCACTGGCAGCTGCTCATGTCGAGGCGCCCACTGTTCCTGCAGCTCATGCGACAGGGGTTCCTGGGCACCTCTGGAAGCACCAGAGTGACAGTGGGGCATCAGGGGTGGAGGCAGCATCTCCAGGGTCATGCAGAGGCCATGGTGACAGGGGGGACTCACCGCAGAGCCCACCGCTGTGGTCCCAGGACTTGAAGCAGCCAGAGAGGCCAGCGGTGCAGAGGGAGCACCAGGGTCCCTGCTTGTAGGGCAGGATGGGCGTCCCGGCCACCTCCCAGTTGCCCCTGGCCCACAGACAGCTGGAGGAAGATGCCCCACCCACCCGGGCAAGCCACACCCCTTTCTGGGGCAAGCCCGCACCCACCTTGTGAAGCCACATCCATTCCTAAATCACCGCCCTGCCTTCGTTACCCAGCCCACCCACTTCCAGCACTCGGTCCTGTCCGCAGCACTCAACCTCGCCCAGAACACCCCAACCCTCCCTCTTCTAAAACATGGCCCTATTTGCATTTCCAAGCCCCACCCACTTCACCCTGCCCCACCCACTTCAGTGCGCAGTCCCACCCAGCACCGGGACCAGCTCCCCCTCCCCTGCCACACATCCCATAGGTCAACCCATGCGCCTCCCTGCTTGAGACCCCACCCACACCGCTAAACCCCGCCCATTCACAACAAGCCCCGCCCATCAGCCACACCCACCACGCCCCCTCTGCCATACCCAGGCCCCGCCCTCACAGCCACACCCACCACACCCAGGCCCTGTCCTCTCAACCACACCCCCCACACCCAGGCCCCGCCCTCTCAGTCACACCCACCACGCCCCGGCCCCACCCTTAGCCCCTTACCCCGGCGAGTAGGCGCACACGAAGGCCTCGCTGGGGCCGTGGGGGCCGGGGCAGCGGTGCCGGCCGCAGCCCAGCTGCCCCGCTGTGGCCCACACCATCTGTGGGAGAGCGTTTGTCACCGGGGTCCCGGTCCCCAGCAGCCCCCCCCGTGCCCCTCGTGCCCACCTGGGTGTAGTGGCTGCAGGTGGCATTGCCGGCGCAGCGCCCCGTCCTGTGGTCGTAGCGCTGTCCCTCAGCAAACCAGAGCTCCAGCACGGCCCCGAAGCCTCCCACGGCCGCCGGCAGCAGGACCTCGCTCCAGCCCAGCTGCGGGGCTGGCGGTGGCGCGGGGCCCTCCAGGCAGCTGGCTGCCCGTGCCCCTGCACGCCGCCCCAGCTCATCGCTCCACTCCTGCGGGGATGAGCATGACAGCCCCAGGGGGCGTGGGGACCACCAAGATGGTCAGTCCAGGAGGTGACTGGGGGATATCAGAGGGTCGACGATGCGCAATGCTGCAAGGGACCCCTAGGGACCTGTCCTGCCCCTGGTGTGGGTGGCTGGGGGGTGATGGAGGGACATTGAGGGCCACCACAGGACATGGGAGACACGCCTAGGGACCAGCTCTGCCTTTGGTGTGTTCAGGTGTTAGGTGGTCAGGGAATATCAAGGGCCATCATGGGGAATGGGGGACCCCACAAAGGACTCCAAAGGACACACACACTCCCTGCTGTGTCCTTGGGTGATTAGGAGGTATCAGAGGGACATGGGGGACACCAAAAGGCACCAGAAGGGATCAGCCCTGTTTTTGGTGTGCCCTGGATGCCGCAGTGACATGCTCTTCCCCAGGGGCCCCACTCCAGCCAGCGCTTCTGCTTCATTAGCCTGTTAGCAAGCTACTGTGTATCACCTATGGGTGCCCACCACCCCGGGCACGGGCAGGAAGGTGGATATGACATCGAAGGTGGGGAACACGGGACCTGCAAGGGGGCTCACCAGCTTCTGCATGTTGGCAGCAGGGGGCTGCACTTTGCTCCTCAACTTGTTGTGCAGCGAGAGCACCAGGAAGGTTTCCTTCATGCTGAGAGCTGGGGGGACAGCAGGGGATAGGGAAGGGGCCAAGGGGGCTGAGAGGTACAAGTGCCCTCCCAATATCCCTGGCTGTGGCTGGACCCTTCAGGGGGCCGTGGGAATTCCCCCTGAAGGGTCCGACCGCAGCCGGGGATACCAGGAAGGCACCCGGGTCTCCATGGAGACTTGAGGGGAGAGAAGAAAGAGCTTTTGGGCTGGGAGCACAAAAGGGGCAATGGGCCGAGGGGGGGCAGCCCGCTGGGCCCCTGTCTCACACGGGTGGGCTGACACTGCCAGGAATGTCCCCCCTCTTCCCCCCCCCGCCTCTGTCCTGCCAGGATCCAGACCCTACTGGGCAAGACCCACCACTAGCCCCCATCACCAGTTGCAGGACCCCCAGCCCCATTCCATAACAGGCTCCATCCCATTCCCAGCCCCAGAGCCCCCTGGTTCCACTGCAACACCAGCCCCAGAGCCCCCCCAACTCCATCCCATCATCAAGTCCATGCTCCTTCTCCCAGCCCCATTCCATCCTCAGCCCCTATCACCCACCAAGCCCCCCACTGCCATCCCTGGGTGACCACCACCCACCCAATCCCCCACACATCTGGACTGGCCCAAGGGGACGGTGCTCAGGGTGCACTCATCCCCCAAACCATCTGCCTCCCAGCCCTGCTGCCAGAGGCAGCCCCTCCACCAGTTACCTCCCGGAGCCAGCGGGGACAACTTTTCTGGAGCATCCGACCTCGTCTCACCCACCCTCCACACCAGGAGGCTGCAAACCAGCAGGACCAAGAGCTTCATGTAGGTCCCGGGATGTGGGGAGCAGACCCCCAAGCTCCGGAGGGAGGACTGGGGAGAGCCGAGCCGTCCCGCAGCAGCCCCGCTCTGGGGCGAGCTCGGCCGTGCGCTCCTGCGTGCCTGTGTGTGTGTCTGGTTGCAGGATTTGATCCTATTCAGGACTCCAGACAGGCACCGCTGGGCAGCGGGAACAAAAGCTTGACGGGTGAGTAATGGCTCTGTCAAAACAGTTGCTCGCTGGAGCGAATGTGGCAGACAACTCCCGGGGCCCCGGGCTGCAGCCCCGCCGGGATGTCCCGCAGCGGGGTCAGCCCTCCGTGCTCTGCCCCAGCCCCGCTGCCCAGCCGGGGTCGGGCTGTGAAGGCAGCAGGAGCAGGGGCCGCAACCGGCACCCACTTTGGGACACTGGGAGACTGGAAGCCAAGGGGCTGGGGCAGCAAGGGGGCCCCTGCTGCCAGCCTTCCTCCTGCCCCATGAATTAAACATGCCGGGGAGGTAACACACACCGCTGCAGGCACGAAGCCAAATACCCGCTCCGGAGAGCTGGGCAGCGTGGTTACAGGGTGGGAGGATGTGAGAGCCGGGGGGCCGGCAGTAGCGGGAGACATGCTGGGCCCAGGGGGGCTGTGTCTCGGTGGGCACCTGGAGGCAAGCAGGGGTCCCACAGCCCAGGCTGCTCAGGGGGCTCAACAGCACCATGAGAGCTCTGCCCCAGCACAGGGCTGGCAGAACCCACGGCAGGTGCTCCCCTGGCACAGGGCAGAGGTGAGGGCTTCAGACATCCCTGCTCAGGATTCTGAAATGTCACAGGCAGGAGGGACTGGGAGCATCCTATGCACCAGCTGTCAGGGCTGAGCTGGGTGTCAGCATAAACCCAGCTGTAAATGCTTCAGTTGCCTCAGCCTGAGTCTAAACCTGACCCTGGCCTGAACCCTGGCACTGATGTTAATGCCAACCCCAACTCTCATACAAACACTCCTTTTAATATGGATCTGAACCCTTGACACTGATCCTAACACTAACATTAACCCTAACAAAAAACTAACTTTAGCTCTATTACTTTAATGCTAACTCCAAACCTAACACTAATTCTAACCCCAACCCTAACCCCAACTCTAATCCTAACCCCAACCCTAACCCCAACTCTAATCCTAACCCCAACCCTAACCCCAACTCTAATCCTAACCTCATCCCTAGCCCTAATGCTGACTCTAACATTAACCCTGAGCCTTATGTTAATGTGGACCTAACACCAACTGCATCCCAGCTCCAGGCTGCAGCAGCACACTGGGGTTCCCCTCCGAACTCTAGCCAGGCCGAGCTCACCCCAGCAAAGCTGTGCTGAGTCCAGTGAGTCCTCAGCATTCCTGGGCTACCCTTCCCAGTAGCCCCAGCCCCACCGGTGAGCAGAACCCCCACACAGACCCCAAAGTCATCTTTTCTCCCAGGAGACTTTCCCAGGCTTAGCTAGTGCACGGGATTAGCCTCATCCTGCATCTCTGCATGCCGGGGAGCCCCAGAGCCAGGACTGGTGAGCACGGCACCGCCGGTACCACCGTAAGTGCCGTGACAGCCACCGCCTGGCCCCGATATCTGCTGGCCCCGGGACATGAAAGGCCCCAAAGCCTCTGATGTGCAGAGAGGGAAAGGAACGGAAGGGAAGGGAAGGGAGAGGCTAGAGCCAGTGCCAAGGGGAAACTTTCCTACAGCTCGGCCTCAGGCAGGGGAAAAACCAACAAACACATGGGCACAGGCTGCGGATAAATCCCTGCGAGTGCAGGAGCACGGCTGGGAGCAGACACGGACCGTCAGCGTCTTGCCCCTGTAGTCAGCCCCGGCGTGATGCTCCTCATCCCACTGCCAGCCTGGCTGGCCCTGGGCATCCTGCAGCTGCCCCTCAGCAGCTCCCAGGTAAGGACCTGCATTCCCTCCCCTCCAGCCTCTCAGCAGATCTCCCTCTCTGGGCTGCTCAGCACCCCCCTCTCACACCCCAGCACCCTGACACCAGCCCGGAGTGGGAGGTACGGCACAGCCACAGCACCTGTGGAGATGCCAGGTCCAGGGGGATTGTCATGGGGCTTTTCCCTTGCAGCAGTGAAATGATGTTAAATGCACTCAGGGCATGCAGCTTCTCCGCAGCATCCAAGGGCCAGAGCAGGACTGGGAGATGGGGGCTGAACCTGGAGCAGACACGGAGCCAGGGGCACACCCCAGCCAGGACGGGAAGGGGATCTGTCCAGGGCAGGGCATCCAAGCCAACCCTAAAGATGCTGCCTGCTTGGAAGGATCCTCCCAGGTTGTGGCAGGGGAACCCAGCAGATGATTGAGGTGTCTCCATGATCCCCCAGGAATGCCTGAACCGGCAGCAGGCACTCAGTGTGGTGCGGCAGATGCAGAAGCTGCTGGTGGCACAGGAGGCTGCCCACCTGCAGGGCACCCGCGGGCTCCAGCACCAGCTCTCCATCCTCCAGAGCCACCTCCAGAGACCGGCCACCAAACGCAATGGTAATCCTGGCTGGTCACCATGTCACCATGGGTGACATCCCCACGGGGCCAGCTCTGATCCCTGGCCCCACACAACAGCCTGGGCAAGGGCGCCCAGCTCCCTCAGGCTGGCAGTGCCCATCCCCACCCGTGTCTGTCTGTCCACAGAGATCTGCCCGCAGCTGGCAGTGCCCCTGAACGGACGGATGCTGGGCCGGAGCCTGCGGGTGGGCCACGAGGTTCACTTCATCTGCGACGCCGGCTTCCGGCTGGTGGGCTCGGAGACACGCGCCTGCCGGCACAACCGCACGTGGAGCGGCACCCAACCCTTCTGCAGAAGTGAAGTGGAGCAGGGTTGGGGTGCCATGAGCTCCGCCTTCCCAAGGGGCTCCTCTGTCACCCTGAGCTGTGGGGTTGTTCCATTGCTCTGCCCAGTGGTTGCAGCAATGAGCACCGGGGTTGGGCAAGGATGCACCTCTCCAGCTGATGCTCACGAGCTCCTTCTCCCTAGGTATTGATGACTGCTCCAGCAACCCGTGTGCCAACAGTGGGACCTGCGTGGATGGCAACCAGAGCTACACGTGCCTCTGCCCTCCAGGCTGGTCAGGCCCCAGCTGCCAGAGCCCCATCTACTCCTGTACGTGCTCGGGTTTGGGCTGCGGAGGAGGGGGATTCTCATGGGGACAGTACCTGGCCATGCTGCACCTGTCTCCCCCTTCCCTGGCAGCCCCTTCCCTGGCCCCCACCATCTCCCCGTGCCTCAGCATGTGACACCTGCTGTCCCCTGCAGACTGGGTGACACTGAGCAACACCTCCTTCAGCCGCCAGCCCCGCTGTGCCGAGGGCCGCTCGGGCTCCCGGCGCTGCAGCTGTGACACCGGCTTCCAGCTGCAACCTGGTGGTGTGTGCCAAGGTAAAAGGGGGGTGAAGAAGATGATGAGACGATGGAGGGTGGAGAACCAAGGCTTGGTGGCAATGGCACATCTGGCCATTCCCCACTTTGTCCACCCTAGATGTGGATGAATGCCAGCTCTACCAGTCCAGCCCCCAGACACAGATTTGCCTCCATGACTGCCTCAACCTCCCTGGCTCCTATCGCTGCCTCTGCCCCCCTGGGTATCTGCTCCATGCTGACCGCAATGCCTGTGAGGGTAAGAGCCCAGGGTGCAGGGGAGGGAGCCTGCCATGGGGAGAGGGGTGCAGTGGGGACAGCCCCACTCACCCCGTGTCACCACCACAGACGTGAATGAGTGTGCTGGGAAGCAGCACAACTGCAGCCAGGGTGACCTCTGCATCAACACCTTCGGGGGCCACCGCTGCGTGCGCCCCAAGTGCCCCCCACCACGCCACAACACCAGCTATGTCAAGACCTCTGCCTTGTGAGTACCCTACTGTGCATGGCTCGGGCTGTGTCATGGCCTCTCCCAGGGTGATGGGTCCTGTTGTGGGCTGGGGGCTGTATTGTGTCACCCAGGGGCAGCAGGGAGGGTAGCAGCCACCACTGGTAGCAAATTGCCACATGGGATGCATAGGTGTGCTTGGCATGTTCCCTGATGGTCTTGGGATGCTGGGGGTGCAGGTGGTAGCGCCCCAATATGTGGTGGCTTTATCCAGGATCCTGGCTCCTCTCAGAGTTCCAGCCTGGGGGGAATGATGCTGATTTTCTTCTGCTGCACAACCATGTAGCACCATCAGCTGCCTTCCAGCACTCCCAGACATCCCACTCTTGAGATTAAACTGCTTTGTGCCACTCAAATAGAGGAGCATCCCTGATCCTGACAGATTCCTCTTCAGGAGACATATCTGGTTCCATCCCTGGCCTTCAGCTGGGACTGTGGCACTCACCCAGTCCCAGCCTCAGTGCCACCCAGAGCTGTGTCCCTGCAAGCCGTGGCATTTTCCTGGCAGAAACAGGGATGAGGCAGAGACTCAATGATGGGTACACTTGGATGTGGCTGTCTTGGGTTGCTCTGCCACAGGGCCGACAGCAGGGCTGGAGATGATGCCTGTGCCATGGGCTGGGCTTGTGTGCAAGGACATGGGCAGCTCCCTGAGAGGCAAACCACGGCACTGAGCGGTGGCACCCTTCTCTCCTGGCAGCCAGTGCGAGAGGAACCCCTGCCCCATGGACAGCCGAGCCTGCCACCTGGCTGCCAGCTCCATCTCCTTCCACTACCTGCCGCTCCAGGCCAACCGCACCGTGCCCCGTGTCCTCTTCAAGATGTCCACCTCGCGCTCCGTGGGGGACAGCCTGCGCTTCTCCATCACAGGCGGACGGGGCCAGGGCGTCTTCGCCGTGCGGCGCTCGGACCGGCACACGGGAGAGCTGCTGCTCACCAGCCCCGTGGCAGGGCCAGCCACGCTGGAGGTGGAGCTGGAGATGAGCGAGTTCTCCCACAAAGTCCTCCTGGGCAAGCACATCTTCAAGGTCACAGCCTTTGTGTCCCCATATGTGTTTTGATTCCCTCTGGAGGCAGGCGTGGAGCCATGCCAGGGCCTATCCTGGGGAGGAATGGAGCAGGTTCAGCTCAGCGATCCCAGTTTTTGTCCCATTGGAGATATCCCTCTGCCATAATGCTTTCTTATAGCCATCACAGCAAAAACTGTGTCCCTGTAGGAAAAACCCCATGGCCAATGGAAGGACTGGCCTGGGGGTGCCTGGCTCTGCTAGCCCCCTTTCTCTCTGCCCACATGGCACACAGAGGGGAAAGACAGAGTGAGTCAAGAGCACTTGGCTAGCAGATTCAGCTTCTTATGTCTTGTAATCTCTAATAAAAAAAAGTGGCTGTAGGAAGAGTGTCCTCCTTGCTGTATGTTTTGTCCTCCTTGGGCAAGGCTCCTGGGGATAGCTGGTGGCTGTGCTAATGGCAGGGTCACCTTGCAGAGCTTGGGGTGAGCTACCAATAGAGCTACCAAGCCCATCCATGGATACCATGCAGTATCCATGCCCTTCCCAGTACCACTGCTCCTGGGGCCACGCTGAAGATTCCCCCAGCACAAAAACGGGAGATGGGCTGAACAGAGAATCACAGGATGCTTTGGGTTGGAAGGGATCATCTTGTGCCAACTCTACTGCCATGGGCAGGTACACTGTTCACTTCCAACACACAGCCAAGACTGTCCTCAGCCTCCCTGGCAGTGCCTGGAAAGCACAGCAGGGCTCGCTGGCACTGGTGAGCAGGGGACAGTGACAGTGGCTGCTCTTCCTTGTGTGCAGGAGGCTTCCCTCTGTAGCAGCCCTGACACGAGCTGGTCAAAACCGCAGCTCCGCAGCTCGCCAAGCACTCGAGCTGTCCCCCTGCACCCATCTGGAGGAGGGTGGGCTGTGAGAACAAGTGGGGCACCCCTGGGGCACCCCCTGTCACCGCCAGCACGGCCAGAACCCCGTGCAGAGAGATCACCGCGGGTTCAAAAGGTGACGAGGGCCTTTGGGGACAGCGAGCGAAGGACACGCCGCCTCCGGGCCGCCCTCCCCTCCGCACACAGAACCCCTGTGAGCCCAGTGTCCGGCCAAGCCCCGCGCACAAAGCAGCCGCTGTGCGCCGACCCAAGGCCATAAAGAGCTCCTTGTGCCCCGCGGGGCACGGCCACCGCGGCCCGGCTCCTCTAGGCCGGTCTGCCGGGGCATGGCCACCGCAGCCTCCCCAGGGCCAGCAGAGGAGCGGGCCGGGCCGGGCCGGGCCAGGCTGGGCTGGGCCGAGCCGGGCTGGGCCAGGTTGGGCTGGGGGGGCTGCAGCACCAAAACCCGCAGCTGGCCCGTGCCGACTGCAGCGGCGGGCTGGGATGAAAAGTCAGGAATTATGAGGTAAATATTTATCCCTGCGCATGAGGTGTCCCAGCCAAAATGGACAAAACCAACCGGGTTTTGCGCAGGGTTTCTTCTACCCTTGAAACGCTGGTACAGCTGGAGCAGTCACTGACAGCCACATCACTGACTGCTAATGACAGTGAAAGTTTGCAAAGGTCACTACAAGGACATGGAGGTGTTGTAGTGAGCCCAGAGAAGGCAACAGAGGAAGCACAACGCTGGTGAGGAGCTCATGAGGGAGCTGGGAGGGCTCAGCCTGGAGAAAAGGAGGCTCAGAGTGGACCTCGTCACTCAATAACTCCCTCAGAGCAGGGTGAGCCAGGGGGAATCAGCTCTTCTCCCTGGTAACAAATGATAGGACAAGAGGAAGTGGCCTCAGGTTGTGCCAGTAGAGGTTTAAATTGGATATTAACGAAAAATTCTTCATGGAAAAGGTGGCCAGGTGCTGAGACAGGCTGCCCAGGCAGTGGTGGAATCATCATCCCTGGAAGTGCTCATAAGGTGTGTGGATGTGGTACCTGGGGACAAGGTTTAGTGGTGAACATGGCAGTGCTGGCTTAGTGGGCTCGATGATCTTCGGAGAGCTTTTCCAGCCTTACTGCTGCTGTGATCCTGTTTTCCCAGTGTTCTTGCTGCCTGTCTGGGGATGCAGTGAAATGTTTGCAGCACCAAAGCTGACAGACTTCAGGAAGCGCTTGGACACATGGTGTGATTTTTGGGGTAGTCCTGGGCAGGGTAAGGAGTTGGACTTGATGTTCCTTGTGAATACCTTCTAACTCGATTCCATGATCCAGGCATCCCTGGAATCCATCTTTCTGGAATTACTGATGCCAGGTGATGCTAGGAGGGTTTCAAATCCATCAAATTCTATATTATCCTGGTTGCCCAGGGGTATCCTTTATCCTTCACTGATAAAGCAGTCCTTAGTTCCAAGTACTTTACTTTGTTTTACTTAAGCACAAACCACTGCAAAGCCTCCAGTAAAATTCCAAGCTCCCCAATAAAACTCTGCAACCTCATTGTGACACAGTGTAAATCTGAATATATATATATTTTTAACAAAAGTACTACATTTTTATGCCATAAAGACTGGTCAATATAACAGGGAATGGAATTTTCCGGGAGTGGGATGGCTTTAGCTCCCATCCAGCCTCCACCGCTGGCTCACTGGGCCCCATCTCTATGGAATGTCACCCCTTGGAAGGCTGGGGAGTGGCGCGGGCAGGGTTTTCCCGGGTGTGAAAGGACCCCACCCCGGGGCTGCTGTAGGACGAAGCCTCGCTCCTTCCTCCCGTACCCCCGCGGAACGATCGCGCCCGGCGCGTTTTGCCCCCTGCGCGCCGCCGTAGCCGTTGCCATGGCGACGGGCGCAGCGGCCCGAGGCCCGCGGGGGCGCCGGGAGCTGCCGTGGAGGCCTCAGCCGGGGGCCCCGCGCCCTGCCTGGGCATGAGGCGGGGCCGGGGCCGCTGTCAACCGCTTCTGCGGGAAGAAGGTGAGGGGTGGGCGGTGGTGGAGTGCGGGAGGGGTCTACCGGCTCTCACCAGAGTGGCTGTCCGGGAAACCGCTGACCCAGCCCGGCTGCTGGTGCTTCTTGCCCTTGCGTCCCGGTGCCTCTCTCTCCGTGTACCCTGATAGTGACTTCATGCTGGTTTTTATATTCAGCGTTTTCTGGAGCTGGGTATAAAGGCATGCCGGGTATACCCACTGTGGGTTTTGTAACAGGTAGCTCAAAGTGATGCACGAGCAAGTTTTCAACAGCCTAATGAGAAAAGGATGACATGATTGGTAATGATTTCTCATCAGTGATGAGCCAGTTGCAAGGTAGCAACTTAAATGGTGAAGGCAGGCAGATACTGCTACTGCTAATTAAATCAAAGGGTGGAGTTAGGAATTTTTTATTCCAGCCTACATGTTGATAAGACCGTGCTGATGAACATAAATTACATTCTCTGCTTTTCTTACCCACTCCTCTACCAGTTGGCCCAAAAAGACACTTCCAGCCCTTTGCCAGGGACTGAGGCGTACCAAGGTTGGAATTGTCCTGCTCACCCTTTCAGCAGTTGCCATGCTTTTTCTCTTCCAGCCCTGTGGAATTGTTCTGGCACTGGAACCATGATCAAAAATACCACAAGTGAGCCCGAGACCTCCTCCTTTTCTTTCATCACTCTCCTGTGCACGTTAATCAGACTAATTGAAGTTGTCTGTCACGTTAGACGTAAATTTCACATCCTCTTTAGTTACTAGGGAAGGGTGGGAGTGGTGCAGAGGTACCTTGTGTCAGCTCAGGTCCAGCAGAGCTCCTTTGTGCTGGTTTTGGGATGCTGCCCCTGATCTCCTGCCTGGTTTGCTCTCCCTGCTATCAAGTTTTCTGTGAAGCAGAGCAGCCCAACTCCCTGTTGTTAGAAACTCTCCTGGCCCTGTGGCAAGTGAAGAGCAGCATCTAATAGTCCACCACAAACTGAGAAAAGGAGAAATTGCTTCTGAGCTCAGAGCTGTTTCTCTTCACATGTGTCATCATTTTTGCCTGCCTTGGAGCATCTCTCCAGCACGAGGGCTCAGTCACAGTACTTTTGTTTCACATTGTTTTCCATTTTTGATTTCTGTAGATGAATATCTGCAATAAACCCCATAATAAGATAGCTCCAGAGGATTTGGGCGAAGCTGTCCCTGAGGTGAAGGTCCAGCGTGCTCGAAGAAATGGCTGGAGCTGGCCCCTGCACCTGTTCCAGGTCATTGCCTGGCTGCTGTTCCTGTTCTTTGCTCTGGTTGGCTTTGGGATCCTGGTTCCCCTCCTGCCCCGCCACTGGCTGCCCGCTGGCTACATCGTATCCTTGGATGGAGAGGAGAGCAGGGGCTGGGACAAGCTGTCACCGGGGGTTGTTGGCACAGAACACTTGTCAGGTAGCACAGGAGACAAGCACCTGAGCATTTCTCTGAGAACATTTCTCTGAAGTGTCACCATCATCTTGGTCATCTCCTGACTATAAAAAAACAGTTGCTTTGAGATCCTTACTGTAGGTCACTGATGTTCTGCTTCATCACTCTCCATCATGTTACTGCCTTTGCCTCCAGTGCTCTTCTGCTGCCTGCTTCTGCCTGTGTGTCTCCTTTGCTTTATATTCTTCTACCAGTGTGCTGCAGGGTTTGAGGGAAGTCATACAAAAAAGCCCCTCCTGAAACATCCTGGTTGTGAAGGCAGCCCCACCTGTCTGTGCTGGCTGGGTGAGTCATGAAAGGCAGCTTGGCATGCTCGTGGTTGCATGGTGGGGTGCTTGTGGTGGCTCAGAGTGGATATGCTCCCTGGGCACTCCCCTGTGTTCAGCAGGAAATCTGGGAATGACACACAGGTGGTGTGGTGTGAACCTCAGAGGAGAGGTCTCTTTTGGGACAGTCTGCAGCAGCAGTTTTTGAGGAGTACACATGTAACAAAGACAGTGAAGGGTCTAGAGGAGAAGGAGATGAGGACACTTGGCTTGTTCAGCCTTGAGCAGCTGGGGAGTGATCCCAGTGCTCCCAGTACTCCCAGTGCCACCTGTACTATCACCTGTGCCCAGGGAAGGAACTTCCTCAAGACCAGACCTTGTTCTAAAGGGATGGGGTGTGCACTTACATAATTTGTACATCTGACACAGATGCCTCTAGGTGTTTGATAT